ATGATATTTATAATGCGATTGCCTTAATTTTTTTCCTTGAGGATGATAGAAGTAATTACTTTTCTATGTTAGGATGATAATCAATTAATTGTGGAAATGCATATATATGATTTTGTTTTTTTGGTACATCTTCTGATAAACTACATAAGATAAGACATATAGCCATCATTTTTTTCTAAATTCATTTTGAACAAATTCAAAGTTCAAATGTAAAATTTTTAATTTAAAATCTTATGTTTTTAATTAGTTAAGTCATCTCTTGAAAATTATTATTATTGATTTATCATTATCTTTTACTATTATCCTTTACTTTTTTATTTATTATCTCTTTTTTTTTGTGATCAACTACAATTATTGGAGAATAGAAAAAGAGGAATTGGGTCAATAGTTCCTAAAATTTGATCGATTAATTAGCAAACAATACCGCTTCCACCCACTATAGGTTAGGTTATTATCTTTTGTTTTAATGACAATATTAAAATGAAAAGAGGACGACTATCACGAGTAAACAAAAATAAAAATAAAAAAGCCAACGACAATTTTATTATTTTCATCCACAGTCGAAAGAATCTTTTCTTATTAAAATGAATCAACTAACCTACATTATCATAAAGGAAGGAACATAATATTACTATATTAAAGGAAATGCCATGATATCCATATGCTCTTGGAATAAATGAAAGAAAACAAACGTATAATTTCCGTAAGAATGTGGTCCAAATTAAATAATATCTTTTCTATCTTTGGTCCAAAATAAATATTTTAGGTTATAATTTCACGCGTTATTGCATATATAATTATATTAAAATGTATAGTAGTATCAAAAGAAAAATTAAAAATATATATACATGGTAAGGATCCATTTACTCCCTCTATAAAATAAATATTTCAAGATAAATATATATGTATATATATATATATTTAAAAAAAAAAAAAAGAAATTCCATAACAATAACTCATGAAAAGCGACCGGCCAGATCTGGGTTTCTTCTCTTTTGCTCTCTTTTCAATTCCCTCTGCCGTCAATAACGAATTAGACGAACCCCCTCCAGCCATTAAACTTCCTTTTTACTTCTTTATTTATTTTAAAATAATTATCAGTTTTTTATTTTAAATTTAACTTTATCTTTTAATTTTTTTAAAATAATATAAATATATAAATTATCTTTAAATTTTTAATTATATATATAAATAATCATTTTGAAATAGAGTGAGTATATGGAACTCCCATATAAAGGAATGCGAATTACAATTCCACTGCCTGAGATGTTCCAAAGTTTAAGGCCTTCCTTTGGGACTTAAAAGTGGCACTTTTTCTCACAGCATATTACTTAAAAATATAATTTTATAATAAATAAATAATTTTAATTAATATTTTATACCACTGCCTGAGATGTTCCAAAGTTTAAGGCTTCC